CGGGCCTGCGGGCCCAGCCAGCCATGGTTCGCCCCATCTCCCAACCCCAGCGGGGTTTAACACGCCCGGGCATGCAGCCCCCAGCCCAGCCAGGGCTCCTTCGCCCAGGGCTTCAGACCCAAAACCAGCCTGGGCTGGTGCACCCTGGAGCCCAAACCCAACCAGGTCTTCACTCCGGGCTTCAGACCCAAAACCAGCCTGGGCTGGTGCACCCTGGAGCCCAAACCCAACCAGGTCTTCTTCACTCCGGGCTTCAGACACAAAACCAGCCCGGGCTGGTGCACCCTGGTGCTCAAAGCCAACCAGGACTTCTTCATCCAGGGGTTCAGACTCAAAACCAGCCTGGGCTGGTGCGCCCTGGAGCTCAAACCCAACCAGGTCTCCTTCGTCCAGGAATTCAGACTCAAAACCAGCCAGGGTTGGTGCACCCTGGGGCTCAAACCCAACCAGGTCTCCTTCGTCCAGGGCTCGTGCCCCGAAACCAGCCTGGGTTGGTGCATTCCAGTGTCCAGTCTGGCTTAATTCATGCTGGTGCTCAAACTCAAGCCGGCTTCGTACGCCCAGGAGCTCAGCCCCAAAGCCCGCTGGGCTTAGTTCGCCCCAACCTTCAGACTCATTCCCAAGCTGGTCTCCTCCGCCCTGGGCTCCAAAGCCAAGCTGGGCTGGTACATCCTGGCCATTCCCGACCGGGTCTGGCGCGTCCAGGACTCCAGTCCCGACCGGGTTTGGTACGTCCTGGACTTCAGGTTCAGCCCCAGCCAGGTCTGGCACGTCCAGGACTACAGCCCCAAGCCCAGCCTGGTTTGCTGCGTCCTGGGCTTCAATCTCAGCCCAGTCTGCTGCAATCCACAGCTCTCTTCTACCCCTCACCAGGGGCAGGTAAGGCAATGCGGCAGGATGGAGGGGTTCAGCTGGGGCTGGGTCCTCCCGGTCCCTGGAGCGGCAGGAGGTTGCAGCCCCGAGGGGGTGCTTGGGACAGTCAGGAGGACACTTTGGGCAGGGGGATGCTTGGGTGGGCAAGTCAGGGAGACGCTCAGGGCGTCCCCTCTGGCACCACAGGGACCCAGGTGACACGGGAGCAGTGCCAGGTGGCGGTGGGGAGGATGGCGTGTGTGGCCCCCCAGGGCCGGGAGGCATGTCTGCAGGCGGGCTGCTGCTACGATGACATGGACCGCATCACACCCTGCTATTACGGCAACACGGGTAGGACGCTCAGAGGGGTCCCAGGGACGCTCCATCGCCAAATGCCTTGGCCAGTACCTGCTGGGGTGGGGAAGGAGGTGTGTTCCGGCTGATGGAGTCGCTCCCTCATGCTGCAGCCACCGTGCAGTGTCTGCTGGACGGGCACTTTGTTGTGGTGGTGCCACGGGGCCTTGCCACCCAGCCCTACAACCTGGACAGCGTGCGCCTCGCCGGCACCCAGGCTGGCTGTGAGCCCCTCCATGTGACAGAGACCTTCGTGATGTTCCGCTTCCCCGTTACGCAGTGCGGTACCACTGTCCAGGTAGGACGTGATACCCTCCCCAGCCCTGAGACCCCCCCACAGGGCACGAGTGAGGATCCTGACCCCGTGTGCATGTCTGCCCCCCAGGTGATCGAGGACCGGCTGATCTATGAGAATCAGCTGATCTCCACCATCGATGTCCAGGGGTCCCCCCGCGGCTCCATCACACGAGACAGCATTTACATGTAAGGGGAGGGTGGGCAAAGCCAGGACCCCCCCCACCCCCACCTCGGCAAAGCCCATCC